ACTTACTAGGCAATCCTATTGACCTGCAATGTCAGACACCTACATATGGCCAGCATAGATAGCCTTGATGCAACTTAATCAGGATCATAAATTTACACAGTAAAAAGTTGAAAGGGCAAAGAAGAATAGCACAAAAGCAGAATGCAGAAGTTATAACAGTTGTGGCCCCATTGGTGAGAGTCAGTATTACACAGACAATCATGGTGCATCACGCCATTGACACCTGTCAGTTAGGCATAGATGAAACCGATCTGTACACAGTATAGAAGCACACGACATTTTCCATCTCCACTGCACACATGTAAGGCATAGCCTGATACATGGGCACCCAAAAGCAATCTACACTGTGATGGAAACAACAAGATCCCTGCAACTCTGAAGCACCAGAAATCATTGCACATGGGAGATTTCAGTATTTTTATGCCTCTTGCATTAAAAGTAACAACTCCTTCGAATGTACAGCATAAAGTGGAGGAAAGATGGCAGTATCTCACAGTACCCATGGCTCTATACCTACTGAAGGGGAGAAGGAGCCTTCTGCCTTCATGGGAAGGGAGGAACTAGGACTGGCAATAAGGGCAGCCATACCTGCACCCTCCCAGGAGTATGTCCATAATCTAGGGCATAATACTGGGAAACAGGAAATGTAAATTCAAGCCCCACCTTGGTGAATGGCAGGAAGAAGGCCCAGCTGACCATTTGCATTCCTGGCCAACAAAGCATGAGCCATCCCTTAGTCTGCATTATGCACAGCTCTCTTGGGAGTATGTTGCTAAGCTGTGATTCCTAATTGACCACCCCTCTTGGAACAGTATGTGCAGCCTGAGGAAACTTGTTTGCTGCTCAAAGTTCCTCAGTTCCAATCTTTGCACTTAGACTTCAATTTGTTTTTCAACAACAAATTGTTGCTTCAGTAATACCATCTTCATCACTTGGGGAAGACTTGTCACTTTCATTTGCTTGGTTGGTTTACATGGGCAGAGCCACCTCATGAATGGCATATGCAGTTGTAGCTGAAACATCATTAATCTCATAATAGTTATGCTGATACTGTTCTGAGACATAGGACCATGTGGGAGCAGCATTCATCCATCAAATGGTAGCACAAAAACTCCACGTTGAATAATCTATGTTTATTGTGGGACTGTTGAGGTTTATTTGAAATTAAGTTAAAATCCTGGGTTTGGGCAACTCTGTATTATACTTCAGTCATGAAAGTTCATTGTTGGCTTTGAATTGGTTTGAGTTCATATTCCCTTCTTTCTTTCATCTTCTCTAAGCTGAACTTCATTCCCTGGTCTATCATGTTGTTTATTATTAGATTTCTAGGCTTGTTGGACCTAAAGGCAGTGAACTGACTGACCAATGATACTATGGCAGGAGCTTTGTGATGGCTGGAACAATAAGCTCTTTGAATTCAGAAGAATACTTTGTTTATGGTGGAATGCCATTCTTGCAAATTTCAAAAAGAAAATTGTTCTAGATTGGGCATGGTACATACACACCAGCACCTGCTGAAGGGGAAAGACCTAACTTGCGCATTTCTTCTCATTGTTAAGTGTGTTGCATGAGTGCCCACATTTTCTGTACATCAACTGATTTTCATTTCTGCAAAACTAGCCATCTGATTTGCTTCATGTCAGCTGTTTAACAAGTTTCTCACCAACCAACAGCACCTAAGACTTAAATATTCCATTTCTTGGCTCTCATTCAAGCTTGTTATTACTCCATGCACTTACTCAGAACATAATTTGAGAAGAAAGAGCTCAGCGTTAGCAATACAGTATGATCACAACACACACGCACACACATTTTATTTGCACAAAATTCTATTATATGAGCTTGGTCTGAGGGCAGCAACAACCTCCCCCCTGATGTAGGAGGCAACTCGGAAACAAGTGGTGAAACAGAGGTAGATGGAGGAAGAAATATGGGCTCCTGGAAAGGCCAACAGAGAGAACTACAAGCAAAACAAAATAGCTAGAATGGAGCTACAGCTTTTGTCTGCCTCTCTCCCTGTCTGCTTTTCTCCTCCCTTTCGCAGCTGAGGGGACCAGGTTTCTTCTTCCTCTTTCTGCCTTCACTACTTTCCCCACTCATCTTGCAACCTAGGGAGCCAGTGGAGACAGGAAGGTCTTCCACACAGGGCTTCAGACAGCTTTTTGCTATGCTTGATTTTGTGTATGAGTTGTGATCAGACTGTATACTTATTCAAATATACTGATGACCTTTTCCAGTGGTTTCACATAAATGTTAAACAATATTGGAAATGATTGAATCTCGTGGAATTCCACAGCAAAAATACCACAGGGCAGAGCAACTGTCTCCCAACACCACATTCTGGAACTGATCAGTCAGGTAGGAGTGGAACCAACAAAATGCAGTGCTTCCAATTCTTACCCCAGATGGTTGATAATCAGAAGGATAATATGGTCATTGAAAGCTGTTGAGAGAAGGAGCAGAGTTGCCACTCATCTGTCAATCATCAGGGTAACCAAGGCAGTTTAATTTCCAAAACCAGATTGGAAGCAAGAGCGAAATGGGTAAATATGTTTCATCTATGACTTGTCTGGAGTATGGGAGTAAATACCCACTCAGGCTCTTTGTCCAAGAAGGGAACGTTGGCCCTTAGTCAATAATTATACAGAATTTTGAGGTTTAGAGATCTCTTTTTAGGGGGTCTCATAACTGCCTTTTTTGAGGAAATATATTTAATATGTTGTTGTTTAGTCATGTCCGACTCTTCATGACCCCATGGACCAGAGCACGCCAGGCACTCCTGTCTTCCACTGCCTCCCGCAGTTTGGTCAAACTCATGCTGGTAGCTTCGAGAACACTGTCCAACCATCTCATCCTCTGTCGTCCCCTTCTCCTTGTGCCCTCCATCTTTCCCAACATCAGGGTCTTTTCCAGGGAGTCTTCTCTTGTCATGAGGTGGCCAAAGTATTTAATATTCATGAGTATATTTTCAAATAAATCAAATACATATTTTGTGTTGTTGCTTTTTAATGTGGTTTAAGTCAGAAGGCCACAGAACTTTCAGCCTCTCCTGGAAACATTCTTTATTTGTATGCTCTTCAGCTAGCTTCATTTATTGAGAGACCCAGTGTGATTTTAAAAAATCTTGCTGCAGTTTCTTTGTAACTGAAGCACATTGTCAGTCTGCTCAGTCTTCTCCATGTCAGCCAACTGTCCCTTAATGAAGCAATTCAACTCAGTGAATAGGACTCATACTTTAAGCAGACAATTGGCTAGCAGAGAGAGTTCCAAATTGCTTTAACTTTGCACAAGTGTGAAAGAGTTTAGTAAAAAGACACTGTCAGTTAATGTTGGCATAAGTTCTTACTATATGTAAACTCTAAATTGATAAGTACCCCATTTAATTAAATGTGAATATAATAATTTACAACACAGTGTTTGTTAAATCTTTCTAAACAGTTTGAAAAAATCATATATTTGTGATCTCAGTTGCCCACATGCAGATGTGGAAGGCTACATATGGGTGGCCTCCACATGGATCTCCTACCTTACTTGAACCCATTCTGATTTGCCAATTTTGCACACAAAAAGCTAAAATCCCAAACAAAGCTGAAACAGTATCTAACCTGCAAGTAAAAAGTATGAATAATGTAATGCTTCATACACAAATCAATATATTTACTCATCAGCATTTATGTAACATCACATAGCTGATCATATCTATATTTCAGAAACCTGGAAGAATAAACAATAATAACATACCTTGTTAAAATTGCTTATCTGAGGTGGATCATTGTAAACTACTTACCATTTCTACAGAGGCAATGGAATTAAACATATTGTGTAACTAAAGTAACAGAGCAATCCTATACTGATATTACATTAAAGAAGAGCTGCACCACTGCTACATTGGCAAAACAGCAGCCGTATTCTACAGGTGCTTAGCTGGGGTGGGAAGAAAAACACAAAAAATAAATAAAAACTATGTGCACCTAGTATATCCTAGAAACATGACCAGGCTGTGCCAACAACATTGTCCAGGATTCACCTAATTCAGTTTATCTATCTTTTTCAAATTAATTAGCATTAACTTCATAGAACTTCACCAGTTCAGTAGTACTGTTTATCAGTACAGTGGTACCTCTGGTTAAGTACTTAATTCATTCCGGAGGTCCGTTCTTAACCTGAAACTGTTCTTAACCTGAAGCACCACTTTAGCTAATGAGGCCTCCTGCTGCCGCTGCGCCGCCAGAGCACAATTTCTGTTCGCATCCTGAAGCAAAGTTCTTAACCCGAGGTACTATTTCTGGGTTAGTGGAGTCTGTAACCTGAAGCATATGTAACCCAAGGTACCACTGTACTGAGGACTTCTTTCCTCAGCAGGTTTTGAACTCAGCTACCTCTGTAAAAATGGCAAGTAGAAGCAGCTTACACAACTGAGATGTTAACTTTAAAGATGTGAAATTACTAGCGTGGATTTGTTTATTATTATTATTATTTAATGTTTAGAGAATAAAATTGTAAGAGTGGTTATTAAAATAGTCCATTTTAAGTTGATGCCTTAAAATGAAATGTTATTTTTTTGTATTCTTTTTATAACAGTTTTTAACTTAAAAGGCTGCTAAATATTGCACTGTGTGACTATGTACTTAAGAACATAAGAAGAGCCTGCTGGATCAGGCCAATGGCCTGTCTAGACTATCATCCTGTTCTCACAGGGGCCAGCCAGTGCATTGGTGAACTCTGCATTGGTGTGAGTCCAATAGCTTGAAAATAACATGTCAGAGATCAAAGGGTCTTTATTAGTGTAATAAGGCCGTACAATTGCAACCAGGCTCAAAATTATGAACTCTGCTGTCAACAAATTCACCTTTTTATTCACCAGGAAGGCCATTCAGCTTCAGAATTTAGAATTGTCGAAGCCTCAGACACTTAGATCTCCAATTTGTTCTAAATACTTAAGAAAGAATAACTTATTTAAATATTGACATATCAAAGTGATGCTATCTTTCTCTCTACAGAAAAGACCATGGGGTGTATTAAAAGTAAGGAAGATAAAAGTCCTACAATGAAATATAGGACTGAGAATGCTCCAGAACCCATTACTTCCCATGCCAGCCATTATGGAACAGATCCAACCCAAGCAAACCAGTCACCTGCAATAAAGGGATCATCAGTTAATTTTAACAGCCATTCCGTGACTCCTTTTGGTGGGCCATCTGGGATGACACCGTTTGGAGGAGCATCTTCCTCATTTTCATCTGTGCCATGTCCATATCCTAGCGGTTTAACAGGTGAGCATCATTTCAAAACTAACTCCAGATTCCAGCAGAGTCCCTTAGGAGTGAATTAACTAAACCAAAAGCTGCATGTGATTTGGTCTATAATGTGTCTACCCATTCATTTTCTAATCTCTGCCATGGTCTCTGGTCAAAAAGGTATTGTATTTTTTGGAAATTATAAAGCAATATAGGGGAAAGCTTAAACTAATTCTGAAATCAGCTGTACATCACGCAGGTGTAGCCTAGTGATCTAACAGATGGGCATTACTTCAAAAATAAATTTGACTTAACTATGAGTTTGTACTTAAAAAGATAATGATGGCAGGAGGAAAATGTTAATGGAAAGCATGCCTTGGAAGTAAAAAAAAAGACTTGAAGACAGTAGAGCTGGAATAGGGAACCAGTGGATCTGCAGGTGTTGTATGACTACAACTCAAATCATTGGGAATAAAACATCTAATGTTACCTTTTAAATGAAAATGTCATATTGATTTACTCTCTCTGCAGAGTTCAGAATTGTTTGGTGGTGCTTTGGCATGGGCTAGAGTTGAGTGGTTGAGACCTGCACAGCTTTTAGAGGCTATGGGGAAGACAGGGACTTGAATTGAATGAAGAAATCATATGGAAACCCTTCTGTTTTTAAGACTGTGCACAGATAATAACTTTCCAGTAACTTGGAGACAGTAGAGCCGAGATAGGGACCACCTTGGGCATGAGCTGCTTTGGCTCAGAAATGAAACCTTGTATCGCCTTCGAAAATCCAATACTTCATATGGCCCAATTCATTGTAACAAAAATATCAACAAATGGCTGTATTTTTTTACTATTTGACAGCAGTGGATGGAACATGCAGGCATAATAGCACTTTCTAAGTGGATGAAGCCCACCAAATTTTAGAGAGAGGCTTGGGGCTTTTGCACTAGGTACAATTAAACTTTGCTAGTTTATTTAAGAGGATGCATATCCTTTTTATTTCTTTACAGAAATGGACGGAATTTTATGTTGGGTTGACACACACACACACACACCCGAATTTCAGACAGATAGGAGCAGGGCAGGTTGTGCAAGGAATGTCTTTAAAGGCGGAAAAGAACAGACTTGCATATCCCTCCCGTGGCTTTTCTGAAGAATTTCTCTGAAAATGGCGTTGTCCAAAGATGCCAAAATAATATGTAGAATTTCATATGGATAGGCAAGGGGTGGGGGGTGTACAAGGGGATGGGCAGTTATTAAAGTGTTTGGCGGAAAGGAACTAACTTATCCTTCTGGGGGTTTTTGGTCAGTATGTAGAAAACAGCATGGAGCATAGAAGAAGAGGTGAGGGGAAGTGTGATAGATGAAAAACAGTTTGTGGCTTTTCTTTTTGATTTCTGCTTAGTTGACACTTCTCTCCCTCGCAGAAGCACCATGATTGGAAGTAAAAAAGAAGAGCCCTGGGGAAGCTATTTTCCAGTTAGTCAGTCACAAAACTGCACCCTCTACTCTCCCTTCTCCCTGTCCTTTTTGGAGATATTGAGGAAATGTTATGATTTTAAGGGGGCAGTTCTAAGTTCTCTGGGACCTCTGAAGCTTCCAAGCAGCCATGAGGCTTCAATGACTTCATTTAGGATGCCTCAGAGGATACCTGCTTCACCTTAAACAGCACTGAACCTGTCCCTGGCAGCTCAATTTGGCTTGGGATATGTCTGAACCAAACCCTGCTGAAGATTTAGGGCATGTGTTTGTTTGTGTGCTAAATTAACATCCATGGGATAGTCACTTGGGAAAAAAGGTGACAACTTTGAAATGGCTCTTTTGACTGGTGGTGCATCCATTCCTTATGCTATTAATTAATTATATGGACCACTTCATTTTTAGAAATGGGGAAACTTCTACAAAAAATATAGGAGAAAATTTCCAACCTCACATCACTGCTTCTACACTATCCAGAAAACAGAAGTGTATAGATCTTTTATATATATTTCTAGACATGCTGATTACTAGAAAAATCTGAAAATAAGACCTTTTTGCACATAACAATCACATTTACCTCATAATGAGGCCAACATTCCAGTACAGAGCAACCGAAGCCACACATGGAATGGAACGTCTGGAGACTAGAGTTCCGCTTTCTCTTCAAATTTGGATTTATGGGTACTTCCAGTATGCATATTTGCTTGCAGAATGCATGCTTCATTCATTCATTATTATGCAAATATCTGTCATGTTCCAACCTTTTTAAAAAAGAAATATCCAAACTGAATAGCCCCCAAAGGGTTTTCTATAAAAAAAATCTGCTGAAATTTTCCCCACCCTCACACATTATGTTTCGACAGTTATGTTAGTTTTGCTGGATCAAGGGGATAATATGGTTGCAGTAACAGGAAATCAGTCTACAACAATGATCATCTGTACTCAGTGTAAGTCTTTAGGAGAAAATGCATACGTGTGTACAATGATTTTCCTTAGACCACTGAGGGGTAAAAAAAAAAAAGTTCTCTCTTAAACTAAATTGAGATTGAGTATTTACAGTAGTACCTTGGTTCCTGAATGGCTTAGTTGTCAAACAAATCAGCTCCTGAACGCAGCAAACCCAGAAGTAAGTATTCCAGTTTGTGAACATTTTTTGGAAGCCGAACATCCGACACAGCTTCTGCGGCTTCCGATTGAGTGCAGGAAGCTCCTGCAGCCAATTGGAAGCTGTGCCTTGGTTTTTGAACAGTTTCGGGAGTCAAACAGACTCCCAGAATGGATTAAGTTCAAGAACCAAGGTACCACTGTACTTTGAGTGCTCTGTGAAAACTGCAACCATAAAGATTCAAAAATCTAAGAAGTTTATCCATAGCGTGTGCTGAACTTCAGAAAGTTTCTTAAATAAACCCAGCAAAATTGAAGAGGTGGCTTGTTTTTAGTGAAGGGATGTATGTGGGCAGAGTTTGTAGCCTGTATTTTCTGTTGAACTGATACTTGCTTCTTCTTGAAATGTGATCTATACAAAATGCCAGTTTGAGGCCTTTCCTGAAATGAACTGTGGTAGAGTCTTAAAATAAAGCATACTGCAGTAAATGTATCTGCAGTATTAAAATATGTACATTTGAAAGCATTGTGCCAAAGCAGTGAATTCAGTGAGAGAATATATAGCTACCATCTGTAGAAAAATCAATTAAATTGTTCTTTACAATCCATTATAGTGATCACAGCACTCTTTTGTTCTTGTCATCTTTTATTGAAAGTTGCAATTCACACTGGAAGTTTAGTTCTGGCATCTTGTGTACTCTGGAAAAATATGGCCTCTGTGTGTGCTGAGCTTAGCTGCCTATGGGTAGAAAGGAAAACATGGGGCTGAATAATGGGAAACAGATACATCTGCTGATTGGAGTTGCTGAGTGAGAAAGGGTGCCATCATCTGTGTCACTTGCATTCCTTATTCTTCAAACTTATTTGCTACTCTCCAGTTGGCAGTTGGAGTAAGAAATAATCACTGAAGCACATCACACACACACACACATGTGTGTGTGTATATGGAGTTCCTACAAAGCTCAGCTGTGATGTTTTGTTTTTTCTTCTTCCTGAAGTGTTTGAAGGGTCTGAACACACATGGTAAACATACAGCTGGAACCCTTGCCCAGTCATTTATTGTAGAGCCGTATTTGTTGAGTTTTTAAACATGCAATGTAGTCAGCCTGTATTAGAATCATAATGTGAAATTCAGCTCTCGAATATTAAAGCAGTAGGAGTTAACCAGAATTCTTAAAACAAATAAATTGAAATTGGGCAATGTTCCCATTGGAAAACACCTACAGACATTGCATTAGATCCAGATCAAGAAAATTGCTTTTAGTTTCCATTGCAATAGATGGAACTTACCGTATTGGCCTGAATATAAGCCTTTTTAAAGGTGCTGCTGATATTCTGGTGTGGCTTATATTTGGGTCAATATGGTATATCATGACTAACATTTCACATGGATTTTAGTAGGACCTAGGTGCAACGAAGCTCGTCTGGATGCAGCCCATTCTTCCCATTCAAATTACCTTCAAGATGAAATTGAAAGAACACTTTATATGCCTCCTGTTTAGCAAAAGACCTGATTTTCATATTTTTGCTTTCCCTAAGGTGGCGTTACTATTTTTGTGGCCTTATATGACTATGAAGCCAGAACTACAGATGACCTTTCATTCAAGAAGGGTGAACGGTTCCAGATAATCAATAACACGTAAGTATTTTCATCTTCCTGTAGACCTGACTGCACATGTTAGGCATGTGTAGCTGTCTGCTGACAGGATGGCTACTGACTGGGGTAGCTCAGTTGGTGGAGCATGAGACTCTTAACCTCAGGGTTGTTGTTTTGAGCTCCACATTGGGCAAAAGATTCCTGCATTGCGGGCGGTTAGACTAGATCAGTGTTTCCCAACCTTCGGCCTCCAGCTGTTTTTGGACTACAACTCCCATCACCCCTAGCTAGCAAGACCAGTGGTCAGGGATGATGGGAATTGTAGTTCAAAAACAGCTGGAGGCCCAAGGTTGGGAAACACTGGACTAGATGACCCTTGTGGTCCTATGGTTCTGTAGTCAATGGTAAGAGCCACTTCTATGCAGACCATGCATGCAGGAGGGGTTGGATGCAAAGGGAAACTGGATTGCAGCCGTTGTTCATTTTAGGGGTCAGGATTATCTCCAGAACAATACCATCATCTTGTTAGCTGCACCACCGTCAGAAGTGTGGTGAGTGGCAGCCTGGAAGAGGGCATTTTTCTGCGGCAGCCCCTAAATTGTGCAACTCCCTTCATTGCATAGTTTATGCCACTTGCAGAAGTGTTTCACTTCTTTACTCTGTGCCCTAGAACAGTTAAGGTTTCTTATTTTGTGGGACCCAAGTCTTGCTGAATTCATATTGCTCTAATCCATTTGGTATAGTTTTATGTGCTTTATAATTGTAACAGTTGTATTTGTTTTTTATAGTTGTATAATCTTATCTTTGTAACTCATCCTGTGACCTTACAGTGAAGAGTGGGTAAGAAATAAAAAAATAAAGGGCAGGTAGTAGATCTAATTATATATGCACACACACACTATCTATCTATCTATCTATCTATCTATCTATCTATCTATCTATCTATCTATCTATATCTAATATGCATATATCATGAAAGTTTTTGCCAAATTGGAACTTGCAGTAAGATGCTTCCAAGTCTACTGAGATTCCAAGTCTCCTCTAATAATGAAACTGCTTTTTGACATTCAGAAGATGATCATATTTATTCCCTAATTGAAGAGTTATTTTTAAAAGTCACTTTCCATTATTTTCCAGAGTTGAGAGGACATTCTGTCTCCTTCAGGGCTTCCTAACCTTGGGAAACCAGAGCCTTTCAGGATCCGTTTTCTAGAGTCATCCTTTCCAATTATTGGTCAAAGGTTTACTAGAGGCAAGGTGGAATTTGACCTAAACAGGGGGAAATTTACTTGTTTCTAGTGCAACTTAGTTGAGATTCCGTTTTCCTAAATTTCAATAAGGCCATATTAGCTAAGCCAGGACTGAAGATCAGTTTATGTATTCATGTCATTTCACTTTGCCAAGTGACTTATTGTTCATGTATATTCAGTGTAATACCTTTTTTCCCCCAGGGAAGGAGACTGGTGGGAAGCACGATCAATTGCAACAGGAAAGAGTGGCTACATTCCTAGCAATTACGTAGCTCCTGCAGACTCCATTCAAGCAGAAGAGTAAGGCATTGTTGTGTCCTTGGTCAGTCATTTCACCCATAACCTTTCAACAGAATTATAGGCAGACGAAAGATTGCCCTATTCCAAGTGCCTTGAGGGACTAAATGAAACCAATCTCTTAATAAACATTGTTTACATTTTTGCTTATATTTACATAACATACACCAGAGTTTTGGGAACGGTATTTGCATGTGTAGCTGCTGATGCAATTATTGGCCCATCACAGCCCGCAGATATTGGGTAAGGGAGAAGCTAAATTATTAATAGATACCATTTGCAACAGCTTTGGGGCCAGATTCAACTACTCCCTCTCATGCTCATGAGATGGCTCTAAGGTTTTGATTATTTGTGAAGTCCCACATAATATGAAGGATTATTGCACATGCTTAATCTAATGCTGATAGAAGAATGCTCTACAATGCTTGTGTTGTTTAACAGATTTTTATATTTACCAATATTTTTTACATTCTAACCTAGTTACTAAGGGCAACAGGGTCATGGAACACAGCTAGATGGCTACACTATTGGGAAAGTGCTGGAGTACTACTTGTAGATTATGAAAGTAACCTTCCATTAACTTGCTGTGGGTGGAATTGAATAATAGTGGTTGATGACTCATGCATTAGCAAGTCCTTTGACATAGATACTCCAAGAATTTATTTATCACGCAGTGTTTGTTGCTATGAACCATACTTTGTTATCTAAATCTTGGGTGAAAGCAGTTCTCTCTCTCTGTATTGCTGCATTTTTAAGTGCTTTTTAAAAAAGGCTTTGCGTACTAGACAACCAATTTTTGTCTTGCCACCAATCCACTCTCTTAAGTCCTCTGGCATGCATAGGGATCTTAGGAATAGGTGAAATTACATCTTACGATGGCACTGAAGTTATCCTCACCCAGGTTTTGATGCAAACTTAAGGAACTTGTTAAACACCACATCAGATGAGAACTCCCAAATTCTTATCTGGCTCAGCTCACAATCAAATTTGGAGAAGAATTAATGACTTCCCCCTTAACGCAATTCCATTGACCATTTGCAAGGAGGCAGCAGGAGCACTGAGCATTCATAGGGCAAGGGAGAAAATTAAGCAGAAAGGCTTTGTTCCTTCTCTCCTTCTGCTTTCCTGACATGACAGTAAGCCTGGGGAAATATGAGACAGGTAAAGTCTCCTGTGGGGCACTGCAGTTGCAGCAACCTTTGGGAGAACTAAATTGCACATGACCACTCTGCCTTTGTACCCAGCGCATTGTTAATGAAAGAAGGAGAAAAGAGATACCCCTCTCTTCTTCTCCCTCTCTACAACTTCCACTGCTGCTACCAGATTTCTGGATAAATGTAGGGAAGAGGGGAAAGAGGAGTTGTGCTGAGTGTGGTGGACTGATAGGACCATCAAAGGCTGGCACTATTTTTTTATTGGACCTTTGGTTTGACTTGGAAAAATATGTTCAGTTTTTTGGGTTTTTTCCCCAGGAGAACTTGGATAATATCTAAATCAATCTGGGAACAATTTTAGAAAGCTTTCCCATCTACAGTCTTATCTCATTCCCACCTGGGTTATGGGGAAAGCTAGAACTAGCAGAAGACTCCTTTTGCATACCTCAGTATGAATGAGTGCCCGTCCTGTGGAACACCCTCCCTTCAAATGTGAAGGAAATAATCAGCTACCTCCTCTTTAAAAGACATCTGAAGACAGCCCTGTTTAGGGAAATTTTTAATATTTAATGCTGTATTGTTTTTAACACTCAATTGTAAGCCGCCCAGAGTGGCTGGTGAAACTCAGCCAGATGGGCGGAGTACAAATAAATTATTATTATTATTATTATTATTATTATTATTATTATTATTATGAGAAGGAACCATGTCTATAGTTTATTTTTAATCTATAAATATTCAGTTGCTTAAGTTTAATTTTATTGCTTGCTTAATGTTTGTTTCTGTGCTAGTCAGGAGTGTTTAAGATATGATAGGATATAAAATGATATGTCACACATAACATAATGTGTTTTCCAAATCAATAAATAGTTATAAATATTGCCTCGCTTTAAAATACTGTTTGATATGCTTGACATTTAAAAAATACCACAAAACTACAATGGAACAATGAATTTTAAATAAAAAAATGTAGGGGAACAACAAAATTACATTGAAGCTACAATCCAAAGACTGCCTCAGCAAAACCAATGATTGCATTAGTCCAGTGGAATTTTTAACTATTTTAATTGAGCAGTTAATCCCCCATGTCATTCCACAACTGTGGGCCACAAAAGAGTTTGCCATGGGGTATGAGAGAGTGGCTAGAGTTCAAGAATAAGAATAAAGACTTAGACTATTACTGGGCCTTTGGAACAATTTCCATGGTTCTTAAACCATAGTCCATAAAGAAGGAAACCATACTTCCTGTTCAAATAGAAAATATTGCAGGTTTATAGTAGGATCAGTGTGGAAAGCCATATTCTTATCACTTGAGATGCAACTGACTTTTTTTTGTAAAATGTTACCTTTACACTGCAGTATTATCCAGACTGTTGCAAGAGAATCCTTATCTGACCATATATTTTTTCCTTTGAATTATCTAGATGGTATTTTGGTAAGATGGGCAGGAAAGATGCAGAGAGATTACTTTTAAATCCTGGGAACCAACGTGGTATTTTCTTAGTCCGTGAGAGTGAAACCACAAAAGGTATATCATTAATTTTGTTATTTCATAGGGCAAACAACTATTGTTGTTTATAAATACATTGACAAAAGCAAAACTTTACTTTTTTACCTTTTTTTCAAGGTGCTTATTCCCTTTCTATACGTGACTGGGATGAGGTTAGAGGTGACAATGTGAAACACTACAAAATTAGAAAACTTGATAATGGTGGATATTACATAACAACTAGAGCACAATTTGAATCTTTGCAAAAGCTGGTCAAGCACTATACAGGTAAGTCTTAAATCCTCCAGCTTCATATATAGCTGCAGAAATGAAAATATATAGAAGCAGATCTTGATATTATTAAAAGATGTAAAAAGAGCACTTTTGGTCTAATGAGAGAATTTATGGAAATGACTTTTTGTTGTTGAAAATTGTGACTATCTGGGATTTTTTTCTTCTTCTAATTACCAGATCATGCTGATGGCCTGTGTCATAAATTAACAACTGTGTGCCCAACTGTGAAACCTCAGACACAAGGTTTAGCAAAAGATGCCTGGGAAATTCCTAGAGAGTCTTTGCGGCTAGAGGTTAAGCTGGGTCAAGGATGCTTTGGCGAAGTATGGATGGGTAAGCATTGCACAGGGAAGGGTCATAGTTAAGTGGTGCAGCATAGGCTCTACATGCAGAAGAAACCAGGTTCAGTCTGGCTCCTCCCATTTGCAAAGGATCCCTGCAAGGAGGGCTAAGAAGACTTCTGCCTTAAGGCCCTAGAGAGCAACTGCCAATCAATGTAGACAACCCTGGACAAGGTGGACCATTGATCTGATTCAGATTAACGCCTCTGATCGGTTCATGAAGCATGAATAAAGGGATTTTAATATGATTCTCTATATAGTTTTCAAGGTAAAAAAAGAGAAAGCAGTTATAGGTAACTGATTAGTCTAATGCCATTTATTTATTAGATTCTGAAAATCTCTCTCTGCTGTAACTGACAGTATAATGCACTGCTTCCATAGGAACATGGAACGGAACTACAAAAGTAGCAATCAAAACACTAAAACCTGGTACAATGATGCCAGAAGCTTTCCTACAAGAAGCTCAAATAATGAAGAAATTAAGGCATGATAAACTTGTTCCACTTTATGCTGTTGTTTCTGAGGAGCCAATCTACATAGTCACTGAATTCATGACAAAAGGTACTTGTTTCTTCTTAGATGGATACAAAAGAGATCGAAATGGAAATATTTTGTAAATTCTGTTGTTTGGTTTGCTGGGTCTCCCTTGCAAGTAATCTGATGGTCTTTAAAAGACTGACATATTCTCTTTTTGCTTTCTTACATTGTCACAGTTTTAACTGCTTAACTGTTTGGTGTTCCATTAGGGAAAATTTCCGGGAACCTATATATGAATGGCATCAATATTTTGCTTCAATCCTATTGCTACATAAAATAAAGATTCATTTAAAACTATTTCAGATAAGACTTTCTAAAACAGGGTCTGCTTGGTATGTAATGCTAAACAATAGTTCAGTGTTACATGCACAAGTCCCAGGTTCACGCATCCCCCTGTCCTTTCTTATCTGGTTGTGACCACCATGAGTCAATTGGAAGCATTTGCTTCCTTTTTCAACTAACCACTGTTTGTCATCATGTCTTAACAGTCATAATACTTCCAATATCCCCCTTGTAGCTATGCAGAAGGAAAAGTGAGGGAGAAGACACAAGTACAAAGCTCATGAACGTAACATTAAACTGTGGTTTAGTGCTTTGTGCAAACTCAGCCTATATGTCAAATACAGTCTGACTTCATAGAGTCTTTTGCATCTGAAACAAAAGGATAGTTCTTGTACTGCAGACATGCTGATCTGTTTCCAATTTAGCACTTGGTGCATCAGCTGAAATGAGGCCAAGACACAGGCTCCTGTGCTCCCCCTCTTCAGTCTCCTCCACATGGCCCAGAAGAGGATTTTGGCAATATTTAGTTATATTTTCACAGAATCCCAGCTTGTTGTTGCATATGAACTAGTTTAAAAAGCTAGTTTCATAATGCAGAGTTTAAAGTTTTAAAAAGTTATAAACCACAATCTTTGATTTTTAAACAACCATGTGCTAGTGACATAGAAGAAAAAGACTGGGCGCATGAATCTCATTCCAGCTTCTCCATGTAGTGCTCAACCATGACTTAGCTTAGTGTTGTGTGCGAACACAACCATTGTCAATTAATGTTGCCTTCTCTATGTGAATGCACATGAGTGGATGAAAACTTATGCGCTCAGGTGCATAGCAGTAGTAGATGAAATTTGAACTGGCTTCAGTTCCATTATTTTCCTAGCTGCTTGCTGTAAATGTAGAAACTGCTATTGTACAGATTCTGGTAATCCAGTCTCTTTGCAAGAGGGAGAGCTGTACTCAAATGCTGCCTGTGACTAATAGATAAATCAATACTACATTTGCATCCATTTCCACAGGTCACTTGTTTGTTTGTGCATATGTGATGTAAAATTGGTGCCTCACAAAGTTATGGAGGTGGTTTCTTTTTGGGGAGTCTCATGTTCAATAAATTTTAAATGGCTCTAAATTAACAGCATTGAGCCTCTCATCCAGATAAATCCAAGGAATTAGCAGCAGTAGCAGCATTGCAGTCCCTTATATCTATTTCCTTCGTTTTGATTGTGTCAGTATTAGGTTTGTGCAATATGCTTGAGACAACCCTATTTTGAACTGGTCCCTTGGAAAATTATGCGAAATCATTGTGTTTTGGACACTACTATGTTTTGCAAAGAATATTATCTATGCTAACAGATTCCATAGCTGAGAAAACAGCCTAGAACCATTCCCTGTAAAATACTTTAATAATGTCTCATATAAGTTTATAGCTGCACCTAAATAAATGCACTAATGTCTTTCTGCAGGTAGCTTGCTAGACTTTCTTAAGGAAGGAGAAGGGAAATATTTAAAGCTTCCGCAGTTGGTGGATATGGCTGCTCAGGTACTTGTTTAAATCAAGAGAGGTCATTTTGCTAGATTATTATCTTGTTACAACATAGTAGTATTGGGAAAATGTTGAACACAACAGTCTGCTTTAACTAGTGTATAGCTTTTTTCAGTTTATGAAGAACTTTTAATTCTGTTGCAAAATAATAATTACTACAAGCTTGAATAGAATATATGCATAGTTCAGTCTAAAAATCTTAAATCTAAAAATGGTAAAGATCTAGTATCAGTGTTATGTTTGTAAAATGTAACTTAGGCAGCTAAACAAGAGCAAACATGTTTATTAGTATATGTTAAGTATTTGGGACGCTATGAAGTGTTTTGTTAATATACAGTTTTTTAAAGATTGCAGATGGCATGGCCTACATTGAAAGAATGAACTACATTCATAGAGACCTTCGGGCAGCTAACATCCTTGTAGGAGACAACCTGGTGTGCAAGATTGCAGACTTTGGCTTAGCAAGGTTAATAGAGGACAATGAGTACACTGCTAGACAAGGTATATCTGTTATTTTTTATATTTCTTGTTAACCAACAGAATTAATTTGAGAGATTTAAAATCTAGAACCACATCTGGGTTCATGATCAGCAGGGCCTAAGCATAACTGTTTGGGGCCCAATACACACTTGTAACATGGGCTTCTCTCACAGACATATTATAGTTGCATACCATCCTTGCAGTCTCATGAACCATGAAATAAAAATTTCTATTTCAATTCTGAAATTGCATTTTCTATATTTCTGAAATTACACCATATCCTACACTGGGGCTTTTCTATAATACCTGAACCCTATCATTGCTATATTTATATAACATTAGATCTAGCTTGAAGCTCAGAAACATTATTTTGCAATTTGGGGGGTTGGTCCTAACAAAGGTGTTACCCCATCAGTGTTTGATCCCCCCCTCCCCATGGGGCTGCAAACATTTTAAAAGGTTATTTAAATGTTTATACTTCTGGCCTTTTTCATTGTAAAATTATGAATTCTCTCCGCAGAGTCAATCTTGCAAATTCACACCAAAACTACTTTTTATACTTCTATCCACTTTTAGGGGCCAAATTCCCAATTAAGTGGACAGCACCTGAAGCTGCATTATATGGTCGGTTTACAATTAAATCTGATGTCTGGTCATTTGGAATTTTGTTGACAGAGCTTGTAACAAAGGGTCGTGTGCCATATCCAGGTAAAAAAAAAGAAGAAAGAATATTGTTGTTTGCTTATATGGTATCTTGAATGTGTGAGCTAACTCACTGTTCTATTTCTTGCTGTGTGGTTTTTTGCTTAAAAATTCATGCAGTGCAAGATAGCCTGTTTTATTCACTAGTATTCAAAACTGGTTTGTCTCCAGCATTGTTTTCACATGTGAACAAGAGTTCACCACTAAACTAAAAGTACTGAAGATTAATTTGTTAGTTTAGTTAGGTGGTTCTGCTTTATGAAAGGAATGGAGCCTATATATTATACTATTATTGATTTTGGTCACCTCAGAAAATCAATTCTCTAGGCAGTGTACATACCAATATGTGAAACAAGATTACACCACCACAATAATACAATAAATTCAATGCTAAAAGCTGTCCCAGCATGAAATAAAACAAACGTCCGTCACAGTAAACAGAACATTTCACAAATAAAAGAGCTAAAACCAACCTATCAGCAAAGACTAATATGAAAATGATATCAATAGGCCTGGGGGTATATAAAAGTTGTTGCAAAGAGAGAGAAGATGAAGGAGCCTCAGGTTGCTGGGGAAGAACCTGTGGGAGGAGAGCCGTGGGAAGGTGAAGACCCTCAGTCCTCGCAACTGCCTCATTGGGGCAAGACCTACCGGGGAAAGTTGCTCTGATCACTAGGCCTGAGCTGTTCTGGTTTCTTTGGAGTTAACTTCACTGAAACTGGTTGTTTTGTTGCTGACCTGCCCCTGACTCCAGCTCCTGACATTAACTATAGACAAAACTGCAAACTGTAGTTAACAAGACCGTGTCTATTCGTTTCAGATCTCGGTTTGTCACCCCCCAAACAAACCAAGACTTATGACTGACTTCAGGTTTGAAAACTCAGACAGTCATAGCTTAGCGACACAAACTATGGGTTTGCATTACATCTGAACCCAGCCAATATCTTGTTTCAGATACATCCGTTATTCATAGATTCTCAAAAGGCCAGAAAATCACTGGCCATTCCTTAAAAGCTCTTCCGTGTTCTTGACTATAAACTTCAATCCATATTGTATAATTTTAGGCATGGTAAACCGGGAAGTTTTGGAACAAGTGGAACGTGGCTATAGAATGCCTTGTCCTCAAGGATGCCCAGAATCTCTCCATGAGTTAATGAAACTGTGTTGGAAGAAAGATCCTGATGAAAGACCAACATTTGAGTATATTCAATCTTTCTTAGAAGACTATTTTACTGCAACAGAACCACAGTACCAGCCTGGAGATAATTTATAAGTCTTTGGCCTACATTCATTGCACAAATCTGCCAAATATAAAATACTTCCAAAAAAAAATCCTTGCTGATTGGAAGGACTCAGAGGAAAGCAAATTGCCATTTGCATGCTCTTGATGGCTAGCAAACTGGAATTCCATAATACAATTGCACAAAACCACTTTTTAAAGTGTTATACCCAAATGTACCAATGATGTGATATTTTCCTTCCTTATTCTGTCAGGGTCCAGAAGAAGCATACCTTAAAATTGGTGGTAAAATGAGTGCTACCATTACAGTTCATAAGAGTGGCACAGCTAATCTGTTTCTTTTTCTCTTGTCTTATCTGTACTGCAAAGGGAACACCAGCAATTAGATAAACTTCTGAATGGAAATGTTCTGAGAATAAGAAAGGAGGTGTACGGGACCAAACAATTCTGTTCCAATTTTATAAAATGTCCTGTGTCCAAAAATTGAGATAGCACTACAGTTGTGATCTTGAGACCCATTTTACATTGATTTAATTATGATAGGAAAGTATTCTTTTAAAAACCAGACAATTTATGATAAACTTGATTAAATTGTAGACCTCAGTAGTGGAAGTGAAGAGCATTAATGCACTGTAGAGATACTTTTATGTTAATGTAACTGAAAATTAGTATATGCAAGTTGATCTCCCCCACTCCACCCCCACTTCTGCTATACTCTAATTATAAATTATAAAGGTAACCACAAGTTGAATTAATGCAATCAGGGGGAAAGAGAAAGTCTCATCATTCTTTCAAGAGGTAGCCTTTCAGAGAGAAATGCCCTGTGAAACATGCCTCAATCTTGTGAGCTTCTTTCAGGAGAGAGAGAGAGAGAAAGAAAGAGAGAGAGGGAGGGAGAGGTGGTCAGTAGATACATATGCTTCCTATAAAACATTGCTAGTTCAGGGATTCACAAAATTGCACTTCTGCTTTTCTTAAGAAGATACTCTTATGTATCATTAACAAAGTATTTATGGGAAAAAGTGTGAAAAGTTGAGGAGCCCAATATATTTAGTATTAGATTATTGACAGCAAATTATTGATGGTTAGTTGGCCCAGCTGTTGCATACTATATTCAAGCACCAAGCCAACAGAGCATGCATACAGAACAGGGTTTGCACATGGAAGGGCTGTTTAGAAAAGCCAAACTCCCACCAATAAGTGGCTGTGTGTGGAAGGGGGAGTGGTTGGTAGGACATACCATTCACCCCACTAGATTCAGCTAGTGGCAAGTGTGGAGGAGCCTTCTTCCACCTGCATATTGTCCTTAGTTATATTTGGAAGTAATAGTAGTTAACATAACCTCTGACATATCAAGCAATAATATGCCGTTGGCATTGTTAGAATTTGCCAATTTTACTTTTAAAAAAATTCTGCACAACAAACTTTTTCTGTGAAAATTATGATCAACATCATTGTCATATCAGACAAATCGTATGGATTTAGTTCTTAATGGTTACATTTGTTGCATCGGGAGTTTTGAATTCTGCTCCTACAATATTTTTTGTAAAACGGTGCAATTATGTTGCATTTTCCCTTATCATTTATGCACCCCTAACTATGAAATTTTCTAAGGGTTCTATGTAGAAAATAAATTATGAGATTGTGATTTTTCCTGTATGTTAGAATGGGTAATGCAATTACATTTATGTAATAATGCAACACATCAGTAAATTATTCTGATATTGATTGGATGTTTATTAACAAATGGAACAATTCATTGTAGCAACATTTGTATAGTGAGGAAATAAAAAAACACTTAACTTTATGAGCCAGTTCATGAAAAACGATTATGTATTTTAAAAAGAATGCCCTCAGTATCTACAACTTTCTTTGTGATAAGTCTTTTACCTCAAATCTTTGATGTAATTAAGCTGTTTTGGCAAATAAGAACTTGACACTGACATACTTTTTTTATTAAAAGTAATACAATACACTACAAAAATTAATTATTTTTATAAAGTATGTTTTTAATTTTGTTTAACAGGATTGATTTTAAATTAAATTCACCCAAATTATAGCAGCTTATCTTTTTTAAAGAAAGACAAGAAAAACCCTGATAGGTTCCTGAGCTGCTTTCTTATGCCAGTATGACATAGGGGTTAGAGTGCCAAGGAGAGCAGGGTGCAAGTCCCCACTTGGGATTCCTGCTCACTGGGGGTCCCTAGGCCAGGCACTGCCTCTCAGCCTAACCTACCTCACAGGGTTGTTGTGGGGATGGGGGAGAGCTATGGGTGCCACCTTGGGCTGAAAAGGGCGGCCTATAAATGCAATAAATAAAATAAATAAATTGAACATCACTTTAGAACTCTAGAGGATTATAAGAATCACTATTCTGTTGGCGTTACATTTTGCATTCTTCTAAACATTTTTTTCAGCAGTCCATATAGACTATAACTTGCAGGTGTCGGGGCTTACTTAATTTCTCCCCCTTAGAATATTAATTACTTTTCATAAATTATTTTCTCGGTCCTGTTTCCATATCAGTGAGCAAGTGAACCCTTCTAAGATACGCTCTGAACTGTTTCCCCTTACCAATTAACGATAAGAAAACACTAACGACTGCTTTGCTCCATGTGGATGAGGCGTCTTGTGATATTATGAATGTTTTGTTATTAATTTGTATACTTCGCAGCGGTTCTTGGGCTACAGTCCCAGGATTGCAGCCGTATTTGTGGATATTCCCTGCTCCAGTACTTTGCCAACTAGATCAGAGACTGAACTGTACCATGAATGGAATAGTATCACTGCTATGTGTGTGTGTGGATCTCAGGATTTTCTCCCCTCCACTTCCTTCCACATGTGTGAGTTGCATTGGTAGATGTTGGGGAGTTTGCACCCCACAGCAGCCTCTTGCATGAGTGGTGTGTGTGTGTGGTTGTGGTTTGCTCCTCAGTGGACTGGGAGTGATTAAGAAAATTATGCAGAAACACAGCTGAAAAGAATGGATGCCACCATTTCCTTGTGTTGCTCCTGTTCATTTCAAAGGGATCCGTGCTGGGAAAGTTCCCAACAGATTGTGCTGTTGGTTATAATTTCTCAGACACTACTTCCATGCCATCTCAGCTCGTTTTTAATGCAAACGACACAAAAGCTTAGTTTTGTTTATTGTTTCCCATGTCTTCTTCCACAACCTCATTCTTCATTCAATATTGTACAGCCAATCCCACATCTCCAGTGTACAGAAGTGCCGCTGTATATTATGACTGTAGAAATCCTAGTATACTGTTTTCTAAACAAAACAAAACGACGATGCAAACTTTTTACATGTTTTCAACTACTACATTTATTGTATTTTCAGCACTTGCGCTACTGTAATCAATCATTTAAGAATGATTTTGATATTTTAATGGAAACAGTTATGTAACATTTCTGATTAAAACTGTATTGCAAACCTTGCCCATCTGTTTTGTTGAAGCTACATTGTGTGGTAACTTTTCATTTTTAAATTTTGGTTTGGTTTTCCTATCATGCTGTGTACACAAGCTTAAATATTTTTAATATTTTATTACTTTTGCATAATTAAACTTCCTAAAGTATAATCATTGTGTAGTGGATACTGTTTACAAAAACAAACCATGGTTTAACATCTGTGGAAATCTAAGCATAACTCATTATTCCTCAATTCAGCAGTGGTGCTTATTTATATTACAGTCTATTTGTTAAATGTCATATTTTGCTAGATGTATGTCAATTCGTAACCTCAGCCCTTTCCTCAAAAATGTCTGATATGAAAGTTCAAAAAATAACAAATTGTTGGAGCAGAGTGTTTAATAGCTTTGACATTGACAATTTGTATTTTCAGACAGTATCCAGGGCACTCTTCCCCATACAAGTTTCCTGGATTAAATCAACTTTTACCCAGACTTCTTGAAAGTGGCCACTTATTTGCCTCTGAATCTTATTGAAGTAGGCTATAGCATTATGGTAATTGGTAGTAGCACTTCATATTCCTATGAAATTATATCAGAACATCTTGCATATATATCCTATTAGATGAGGTAGTGAACCCTGATCCAAAAAGTCCCCACTTAACAACTCCCTATTATTTTGGAAGATGCTCATTCCTGAAACTTTCTACTTCCACTGATAACTCCCAAATGTCTCTTACCCCTGGTTTTGCTGCCTCCTTGGCCAGCTATTGATTTTGTTCTAGGCCAGTCATCTGTCTGTGATGAAGAGCAAGTGAAATACTGTCAAGGATAAAACAGCCTTAGAAAAAATTAGTTTCCTTGCGGAGAACACACAGGTGTGGGAAAATCTCAGGATAACGGTGCTACAACCAGTTACTAGAAATTGGAGAGAGATGCAGGGATGATCTTTCTCTACTCTCCCCCCTTAATTTCAGAAGTACAGTAGACAAACTCCCACACAGCTCAAGGGAAAGAGACACAGCTTTGCTTCCTGCTAATCAAGCAGCACTATGTGCAGTTTGAGCGGAGACCAATATCCACGGGGTTGTTCCTATGTCTTATTTATACCATCTATTTGCAGTCTCTCTTTCCCTCTGTCTGTGTGTGTGAGAGAGAGGGAGATAGTAAGTGTGTGAAATCAGCTTGAGGCCTATTTTGAGTGTGAAAATGCACACAACCTTTCACATCAGTAACGAACGACATACATTACAAGGTGTGATATTATCAGTTCCTATTTCTCTGATTTTAAATATGTTTTGTGACCTGGCTCTACTGTGTTTTTATGAGCAATTTATGCATTTTCCTCCATTAGTCCATTTTCTACCCGTCAGCCTCGTCTGACTTGCCAATTATGTCTCCTTACTGATTTGTTTGCATATCCCGATAATCGACATAAGGTATTTTTAATTTTTTTTTGTCTACATAAACTGGTGTGAAGCCCAGATACCCAAGCTTAATAGTTTTTGCTGTTTTTGAAATGACTAGTGAATTTAAGAAGTATTACCTCAAAACCACAGACTTGCAAGTACAGTTAATTTTGAGCAGGGCAACTGGACTGTGGCCACAGTTAGCATGTTCCAAAAATTCTAAGGTTGGCATCCAACTAAGTCACTGAGTCACTGATCTCAGTCAACTATTTCAGAGAAGTAGGAACTTTTCATAAAACACCACCTTTACAAAGTACTCAGTCCAGATTTCAATGAGTCTGCTCTCAGTATGACTTGGATACTACCCCAGATGCTTAGAAAGTTAAGATAGTTTTAATCTGTTTTAGCCTTTTAACTTTGTATGTTTGAATTTTTTCCTTGATTTTATTGTTTACCCTTTTGTAAACCACTTTGAGGGGGGTTTTATGATCAAGCAGTGTATAAATTTTATGAAATAATAGATCTCTACGCCCTCCCATTTAAATGGTGCAATGATCATGTTGCTTTTCTATTCATTGGCACTCCTTTCAGAAGCAAGACACAAGTATTATACTTCTCAAAGACTTCTAAGTGTCTACTGAGCTGTTCTACAGAGTCTGGTGACAATACTAATAAAGCATTTCAGGGATGCAAAACATTACAGTGGAGGCAGCTTCAAACACAGTATCATAGGAGCAGTTTGACGGGGCCTGTTGTGCTTCTTTAGGAGAACATGTTAAATAAGGATAATGCCACTTATTTCAGTCTTTTTTTATACAAGCGTATCGTGCAACCCTTCTCAAAATGGCCCTGTTCAATCAGTGATGGTGGTAAATAAGGGCTTAGGAAAAGTTTGAGACTTCTGTCACCACATACAATTCCTTCCCACTGAAACAGGGAATGTTGAGGGCTGAAGGCAGTTTACAAGAGCTGGGAAGAAGGTCAGCACAGGAACTGCAGGAAGACCAAGGAGAAGGCACCAGAAGGCATACCAGGAATACTACCAGATAATTGCAGAGGCCCAACTGATATACTGGTTAGCCTTTCAGATGCTCTTTCAACATAACTAGTTGTGGGTTTTTTCCAGGATGTGTTCTAACTGGGGTTGACTTAACAGTCTGTCATTTTAATCATTGCCTCACCTGCTCTTGCACCTGTAGCAGGAGCTTGGGGTGCAAGAATTAGCAAGTGAAGTTTTCATTGATATAGAGAGAAACATGATCACTTGCTAATTGGTGCAGATCAAAGGGGTTGTTCAGGCTCAGTTAAAGGTTCCAGCTCAAAAGGCGACAAATGGTACAGTAGCTCTCTGGATTAGTCTGTTTTAGATATTTTTGGCCTGGCCTGTTTGTTTTAGATATTAAAGCATTAACATTCCCTTTGATTTAAAGCCTGTTTTGTTAGGGTGATCATTAACAGCCATGCATCTGGACCATCACCTGCTTGGCACACATTTAACATTAGGTCCAAGCTGGAAAAAGTTTCAGCTGCTAAATCTTCAGAACTTGTGCCAGATCTCAGCAGTAATGCCTGTTTTCAGTGCCAGGGGCTGAACAATGGAATAGAGATGGAGTAGGGAATCTGTGGTTCTCCAGCTGCTGTTCTATAACCACTCCCACCATACCTGGCCACTGGACATGCTGGCGTTGGCTTGGGGCAGTTTGGGAGTCCAATTACATCTGAAGTGCTTGCCCACCCCTGGAATATATAGATTAAAGTGCACCTGAGTGTGTGCAAAAAGCATTTTCTATACCAATAACTATGGAGAATCCCTATCCTCATCGAGGATTGAGGAAAGAACTTCCTAGTCAAAGAGGATGTGTCCATAAATGCTCAAGTCCCAAGTCTTTATTGTGTTACTTTATTGGGGGGGGGGGGGGAGAGAGACTTAAGGCTGCAATTGATCCTGTTCATCTGGGAGTAAGCAACATTGACCTCAATGGGGCTTCTAAGTAGACAATTGTACAGTGGTACCTCGGGTTACATACGCTTCAGGTTACATACGCTTCAAGTTACAGACTCCGCTAACCCAGAAATAGTACCTCGGGTTAAGAACTTTGCTTTGCTTCAGGATGAGAACAGAAATCGTGCTCTGGCGGCGCGGCGGCAGCGGGAGGCCCCATTAGCTAAAGTGGTGCTTCAGGTTAAGAACAGTTTAAGGTTAAGTATGGACCTCTGGAACGAATTAAGTACTTAACCCGAGGTACCACTGTACTGTAACACATTTATTATGGTATAAACTCGTAAGTCCACAAAAGGTTATGCCATAATAAACCTGAGAAACAGTATCCATTTTGGGGGGGTGTTTGGGAGAAAGTTAGCATTGCAGTGCGCCTGTGCATGCTATTAAAGAAACAGGTTTGTTTGTTTTTCTGAGTTCAATCGCAAACCCCATTAAAGCACATTGGAAGCACCGAAGAATTCTGGGCCCTGTAGTTCATCCCCCGCAGTTACTACTTCCAGCAACCCTTAAGAAACTACAGCGCCCAGAATTCTTTGAGGCAGGGCGGGAAATGGGTGAAAAAGGCATAGTTACGCAGCGGCGCAAGTCAATCTAGCCTCGGCGCTCCAGGATAAGCGCAAACGCGACGCGATTACCCCCTTGGAGTTGCATCGCAGCGCGACCCTAACTCAGCCAGGATTCCGGCCAGCCTCTTTCCGCCTTGTGGGGCTCCAACTTGTGGGGCCGCCCCTTCCTCTCTAGCTCTTCCCTGTTCTTCGAGCCTCCTCGGCATTTGCTTCCCCCTCCAACCTCCTCCCCTCGGATGCGGCCGCCCACGAGCGCCGCGCGGGCCAATCGGCGTCCCGGAGGGATCCCCAGGGGTCGGCGGAAAGCGGATTCCCGCAGAACTCCCGCCGGAGGCTCCCTGTCGCGATGGGCCGAGGGAGGGTGTTGGGTCTGGCCGCGAGCGACGTCCGCTTCCCCACGTCCCTGGCCCGCCATGGCTCAGACGCGATGGTAAGTGCTGCGCCCGAGCGCGCCCTCTACCAAGGCGCAGCGCCGCAGCCGGATCTCCGGCGGCTCCAGCCGGGCAGATCTCCTCGGGCGCCCACGCTAGGTCTCGCCGATTGGGCTCGCCCGCCTCTCTTGCTTTCCTCCCTCGGGCGTTTTCCCAAGCTCAACGGAGCTGCGGAAGTTGCATCTCCTGGTTTTCAATGGGTTAGGATGCTAGTCGGTCACTTTAGACGTGTTCCTGCTTTCTCTGCTCTTGGATCTGTCGTGATTAAGACCCCACGCTGCTTGTCCCTTTACGCAGCTAGGTTTGAATGGGCAAATAGCTTCATGACAGGTATTATCAGCCCCGTGCAAGCTTGTGTGAGGCCCGGGGTGGGAATCTTGCTGGAATAAAGTTATAAACTCAAACCAAAAAGCATCCAGTGTCATGGGCGTAGCCAGGATTTGCGGGGAGGGCAGGACTTTTGTTGGGTGGGCAGAACCGAAGCGATTGGTCAGTTAAGTATTTCTATTGTTTTACCTGACCTGGGGGGGGCAGCTGCCCCCTGCCCCCCTTGTCCAGTGCTGTGGTTACCAGCTTATCCCTCTGAGGTTGGGGCAAGTGTACCTGACTGCCCCCACCTCTTCACCTAAAATTCTGTAACGCCCTTCATCTGAGGATCACATGATGGTTTACAATATAAAACCCCCAAAATACATACCATAGTAACAAACACAAACCATAACCGCCATACCCACAGGGGAGAAACTGCATCATGTTCTATATG